CCCCAGAGCCAGCAGGCTCCGAGCGTCCCGGGCGCTGCTTGCGAGGATCGCCGGGGTTTCTGCGGCTTTGCTAATCTGGTGCCGCTTCTCCTGCGCTGCTTGCCGCCTCTCAGCTGCCACTGGGCTCTGCCGGGTCGGTTGCGCTCTCTTGGCGGGATGTCAGCCTCTTCCTCTTGCCGGGTGGATGCTTGCTGCCCATGCCACATCCCCGCGGCTCCCGGTGTCTGTTGCCGTTTCCCTCTTTGCAAAGTGCACGTGTGAGAAGATGCAGAGAGGTAGAGCAATTCCTGGAAGTCAGTGTGGGATTCAAAATCTGAATCACACCATTTCTAGTTTACCCACCTTCATTTTGACTGGGCTCCTCTGAATTCATGAAGGCACAGTTTGGTATTGCTGGCATTCCTTCTTTTTATTTCTATGTTTATCAGTAGTGTATTAAAAAAAAAAAGAGAAGGGATGAACTTTGTAACTCAGGTAACGGCGTGGCATGGATTGAGCCAAGGTAGGGAGCTGGGAACGTTCTGTGAGGCGGAGTAGTTTAACTTGTAGCTTAGAGCTGACTGGGAGGGACTTGGGTGTATCTATGTGCTTAGGAGGAAAAACATGCTGAATGAAACACAACCCTGGCTCTTTTGTTGGTGTGTTTTGTTGTATCTGGAGCACAGTAACACTCTGAATGGTAAGCTCCTTGGGAAGTAGTTCTCCTATCAAATCACGCCTTTGAGCTTTGACAAGGTTGCCTTTTCAAGGCTTCATTGTGTTTTTCTTGAGTCAGAGGAGTCTAGGGTTCTCCCTCCCCTCCCCCCCCTTGTATTAGCAGAAGAAAATGCTCTCTGCCATTACTTGGGGTCTTTTGGAACGTAAATTGATATAGAATGAGGTTTTGTCTGACATCTTCCAGGAATAGCTGTAACTCATTCTGTCCTTAAATGAACGTGCATACTGAGTTAGCAACTTCCATACGCAAATCAAAGCACATTTAAATACTGTGTAAAATCTGCTGTTTGCTAGTAGAGTGATATTAGTTCATTATATCTTCTGCGAATTAAGGCTGGCTAATAAATGAGAGCATCTATAAAGGGATTTAAATGTGCTTTACCTTAATATGGTTTATGTTCACACTTTCAGTTAAAACCCCTACCTAAAGTCCTGTCTCTGTGCATGCATGTGCAGTCACAATCACAGCTGCAGTGTCGCTTCATTTGGAACAGCGAAAAGAACAAACGTACTTCCCTCCAGCCTGGGGCAGCGCGGTCCTGCATGGACTGTTGCTTATGCTTTCATTAAGGAAGGAATGGACTGGCTGAGACTGGTGTAACTGATGGCAAGGCTAATTTAATTCTGCCTCTTGAGGACTAAGTATGGATCCTACTTTATCCAGAAGATATGATACATTTTCCTGCTGTAGAACAGTACTATAATGTCACTGCACATTTTTAACAAGAACATCTTTATTACTTCTTAAACCTCTTTTAAATGTAAATCCTGCCTGATTCAGGCCATACACATTCTGCTGTTCTGTAATCTCTGCACATAGCTCTTTATTTCTGTGCCCAGTTCAGTTACGGAACAAGGTCATTATCTTGCTAAAATACTCCACCTCAGATTGCTAACATATAGATCCCCCTGGCTAGAGCTGTATCTAGACACAGATACATCTAGCTGTGTCTATATCTAGATATAAATTTATCTGAACGAAACAGCCCTTTTCCAGGGCTAATCTCTTCCTTAGGAGAATCCTACCTTGCTAGTGAGGTTAGAATGCAAAAGTGTGATATATGACTGTGATCTTTGGATCACGTAGCAGCCCTGTCAGCAGCACTGAGCAGGCACGCGAGCCTTGCCATGCTGGCACTAACGCCTTTTGCGTGCTGGCAAGTGGCATCATCCGATATGGGAAATAAAGCCTGAACTTCTGCTCCCTTCCTGTCACAAAGGTAGCAGTTGTCTGTTAAAGTGAAAGTTCAAGCTGGTTCTTGTCACTGTCAAGATATATTGCATGGCCTTTATCGGGGGAACTTGCAGAGGCTCAAGCAGCAGTCCTTAAGTACTTAATGTCTCGGCTCTGTCCCAGCTCACTGAGACTACGCTTCGCAGTGCATCTCTGAACTGCATATGCTCCTGTTCAATTCTACGTGACTTTGGCTGCGTGATCTGTGATGAGATTTGAGTCACGTGCTCTTCTGCAACCACCCTCTCATAAATCCTCTTACACAGTCTTTATTCTCAGAGGACTCTTGGGCAGAAGAGGTTTTCCAAGCTAGAGAATATGGCCACTTCTTGTCAGCTTGTTTTATTCTGAGTGCTTAGGTAAAGTACTTCAAGTTCTGTTTCTGGTTTGCACTCTCATCCTGGAGAACGTGCTATGACAGCAATAACATTTTAATTTTTCTGGATTATGCTCACTGAAGGAGAAGCTCAGCTGTATGACTAGAACCTTATAATCTTAAGAACAGTTTCTATATCATCATTAGATTTGTGTGCTAAGTAGCATAATCTTGAGATTGCTGTTTGTGCATCTTAAACGTGGAAACCCCCATGCGGAATCCTCTTTTTTAACTGTTATTTTGCCACTTGTAGGAGCAGAATGTCTTAACTGAAACAAAATGCTAAAAGACGGGTCAAATTTTGCTAACGTAGTGTGGTGTGTTTAGTGTCACACCTGTATTTAGTTATATTTGCATGATAGCTGCCCTGTTATTTTTTTTTAGGAATAAAATTTGCATTGAGGCATTTGTTTCTGCTGAGGTATGGTGGGTTCATATGGTGACTCTGTACTGCACTGCCTCGAGGGCGGAGACACTTGTGCTTTGCTATGTATTTGTAGATTGGTAGAAACCCTGTAAATGGTAATGTGGTTTTTTTTTGTTTTTTCCCCCTTTTTCTTCCTTTCTTTGTATTTCCTGTCTTGCTTCAGAGAGGAAAAACCTGTTGTTAACATACATTTTTTGGATTCCCAGGATAAAGCCCTGGATTTTGTGCTGCTAAGTCCTGATTTGGCTTAGCTGTAAGGAGAGCCAACAACAACCTGCTCCAGCAACGGGCAGGCAGCATACAGCAGTTCCGCTGCTCTCCACGGCTGCATGGCACGGTAGTGTCAATTCTTCCTCTAGAGGGGAAGCTGCATCATCACAGAACAGTTCTGTCAAAATAAGCTAAATCTATCAGATAACTGAAAGAGAGAATGCGGGGCACTTTGTTTCTCTACACAAATCTAAATTATATTCTGCTTACAGATTTTTACCAGTGTTTGCATAAGTGTGTTGATAAATTAAAGAACACTTTGTGTTTTTTTCCGGAAGTGGTTGGCTCTGAAGGCGTCAGACAGAATGGAAAAAAGCTTGCAGTTAGTCAGAGTCGGAGCCACGACAGCACCGATAAAAGTGCTCTCAGGTATGGTATCTCTCTTGCTTCTTGTATAGGTTTGGTGAAGCAGTTGAAGGGAGAGTTGTGCATGTCAACTCTTTGTGGAAGGCCTAGTGAGGAATAAAAGTGGTGGCAATGTTTCTTTGCCGGTTCAGCTATGCCTCCCCTCCACAGAGGATCTCTGTATAGTGACAGTAAATATATACAGCACCAAAGTTCTGGGTACTTCTGGGTGATTGTGTGTGGATGGAATGAACTGCGGTGGGCAAATTGTTGATGCTTTGATGTCTAGAGGAAGAAAAAGAAAGTGCAGAGAGCTTTCTCTCTAGAAACTGAGTGGGGAAGTTGATCTCTCTGGTGCCAGCGTGTGAGGTCTGTGCACACACCAGTGCTCGAGCAATCTTGCGGCGGCATTATCTAGTTCCATCTGCCAGCGACCGTGTCGGTTGCAGTCCCCAGAGGTGGTGGGATCCAGAGCAGAAGTTGGCAACGTTTTGAGAAGAGAATCTGCAGATTCTAGTTAGGAGAGAAAAAAGTTCAGCATAAGGATGCTGTCAAAACTTTAGTGGGAACTTCAGCACAGTCTCTCAGAGGCAGTCCTGCCAGTCCCCTATTTGGGCATATTTTTGCTGTTTAGTGGGATAGGACCCACTAGCGTTGTTTATTTTGAATTCAGAGAGCTTTGGCTTAGGGCCACTGTGTCTCATAGATACACTCTTAAAATGTCACAGTTTAATTTTCCAGTTCCCAGGACTTTGTGGACCCTGCTACATATCCTTCAAAGTCTGTCTGTATGCTGTCCTTGGCACTGGCGTGCAGGTTGTTGACCTTAAATTTGTACCATCCACTTGCTTGTGGGAACTCCCAAGCTGTGGCACTATTACTGTTGCAAAAGGAGCTTGCAGAGCCAGGAGATACTAAATAAAACCACCTCTACCTCCACCCACCCTGTGCTGCCTCCTTTCTAGGCAGAGCTGGGAGTTTTCCACCAGAAGGCTTTTTAAACAAACACAGTTTTTCATTCTCCTGCTGAGATCAGAAGGGCTGAGCAGAGGCAGCGGGAGATGAGATTTGCATCTCCTTGTTCCTGTAAGCAGGAAAGATGTACAGGTTTTGTATCAACATTGAGATGTGAGTAAGGCCTGCTCTGAATCAACAGGCTGCACCAGGTTAGTGAAAACCGTTCGTTATTTCAGTTAAACTGGTTTTATCTAGAGATCTGAACCGTTCTAAGAAATGCTCATTTCAGTCTTGTTTACTTATCCTAATCATTGATTATCTATCTTTAGTGAAACAGACAGATAACTGCGAATCAAGTCCTCGGTGGCAGAAATAAGCTGTGTAGGGTGTGTGTATATCCTGAGTTTCATCACACAGTTTTGCTTTCATTTGCAGGCAAAACAAACTCAAACCTGAAGTGACAACTGAAATGGTACGGTCCTCCAGCGTAATGGTTTCAAACATGGCTTCAATCTTATCAGAACCAAAGTTTGGACTCAGAGATACTATTGTTAAATCTCAGCTTGTACAAATGGAGGATTCCTACACATACATCCAGAACTTCAGGTAATGATCATTCCTGAGATGAACTTATTTTTGCGGGGAGTAAGTTAGTTAGCGTAAGCTGTCAAAATAACTCATATTCGCTATTTCCTCTAGTATCCCTGCAAATAGGAAATTTTGTAGGAAAGCATGATCCATACTTTCCAGAACAGCTTTCTTTCCTCTTTTAGACATTAGCAGAGAAGAATTTCATTCATGTCTCTGTCAAGGCTTGCCTCATGGTTCTTGTTGAGAAAATGGCCTTTTTGAAATTTCCCTGTGCTTATTTCAGAATGTCTCTGGAAATGCATCAATTCTGTGAACCTCTGGCCTTCTCTCTCACTGCTTCTGTTCACTATTTATCCATGTAGTTGTTCCAATAAGCTCATAAGAGCTTGGGTGAAATATATAATTAGGACCAAAACTTTACTGTGGTTGAAATCCTTTTATGCATGCCATTCTATGAATTTATCATTTCAAACTGCTACAGCTCTAGGCTTTTTTTTTTTAATACTATATGTAAAAATGTGTGTCCTTCTGTAAAACATGTCTGTAAAGATGCTACTGTAATTAAATCATTGTCACGTTTTCCTAATTCCCCCCAGAAACATGTTACTCCTAAATAGTTACATGTAGTATTAAGTACATGGGTTAATAATAGTGGTATTTCCATCAGCTCTACAATTTGCAGCTCTGGGATTTAGTTAATTTCTTTGCAGATTTTTTGTTGGGACATACAATGTAAACGGTCAGTCACCCAGAGAAAGCCTCCAGCCTTGGCTGAGATGTGATGCTGACCCTCCGGACATTTACTGCGTGGGGTGAGTGTCTCTTTCTGGCCCATCCTCCCAAACCTTGACTGTGGCTTGCTTGCGTGTGAATCTGTAGCATGGAGGTGATCAGCCAAGACACCACAGGAATGTTTGCATTGCCTTACTCCATTGCACAGCTTTAGAGTGTGTGTTTGCATAGCCTGAAAGGGCTGTTATTCTGGTAGTGTTTGGACTCTCTGGCACTGCAGTGTTACAAAATCTTTAATGCCATTCAATTTAATACTAATAGTAATTTAGCTTTATATTTAACATACCTCTAAAGTCAGCATAACTGAATTTGAGTTTTCTGTTATAAATTTAGTGAGTATAAATTGATTTAGTTCTTTCCCAGAGGAAAGGGCTGGAGAGTTATAAACAAGTGCATGCATCCATGGGTTCCTTCCTCTAACACAGTTTCCAGGAGCTTGATCTCAGTAAAGAAGCCTTCTTTTTCAATGACACACCGAAGGAAGAAGAATGGTTTAAAGCTGTAACTGATAGTCTTCACCCAGATGCCAAATATGCAAAGGTAAATGTGGTTTTTGGGGAGGTTTGAGTGTGGAATCATTTTCCACTTGGGCCTCTTTTCCCTTTGCTTTTTCTTGTTCTCAATTGCTGTGTCTTCCAGAGGCTCAGTCAGCTGGCTTTTGCTCAGTCAGAAGTGCTCTGAAAATGAAGTAGGTAGTGTTGCTGTGCAGGGTGCTGAGGCCCCGGGCAGGACAGGAGACCAGAGGTAGGCATCAGCGCAAAAAGGAAGCTCCTGCTGTCTTGGGAGAAGAGAATAGGAAGTGTCTTAGTTCCTTCCATGTCTGTCTCCACAATGCATGGTGGAATGAGTTGTGAAGGTATCTTGGTAGGAATACGACTTTTGTTTTGGCTCCTACTCCTTACGTCCGCTTTGTCTCGTCACTGTTGTTGAAGGGAAGCTCTTTCCATGGGCTGTGCCTGTGCTGTAGGTTTTGCTTTGGGCTTCACCTTCATTTACTGGGGTGTTGGTCCCTGGCTCTTTCCTGTGCTGTGCTGCTGGAGTACCTGTGTACTGTGAGCCCAGTTGGTCCGTTGGATGAGCCTGGAACTCTCTTTTTCTTCATCTGTATTTTGGTGACCCGTGTTCTGGACTGGGGAACGATGTGCCTTCTCTCATCAAACCTCTTCCATTCTAGTATTTAATGGAACAGGATCTGTTTTTCAGGTGAAGCTTGTGCGGCTCGTGGGAATCATGCTTCTGTTGTATGTGAAAGCAGACCTTGCTTTGAACATCTCCGAGGTGGAAATTGAGACTGTGGGAACTGGAATCATGGGGAGGATGGTAAGAATGGCAACTGTGCATGAGAAGGGGTGAGATTTAGAAGAGCTCTGGAGAGCCCCTTTGTAGTGGTTATTCCTCCAGCTAAGGGATGCACTGCCTTTAGAAGCACATAGTCCTGTCCCTGTGCCAGCTCAGGGCGTTGCTAGAGGGAATTGCCATGTGCTCGCAAAGGCTCAAAGACCTTGAAGGAGAATCTTCTCTGAAGGCTTTTTTTTTCTGATTGCATGGGCTGGGCTGTGTGGGGCCTTGCTCTCATGTGATTTTGATGCTGGCTGTGATTTTGCCCAAAGCAAGTAACACAAGGAAACATGAGTAGAAGAAACATGTCTATCCAGATTAGTTTTCCTGAGGAGGACTTCCTGGCCTCTTGCCATTCCACACCATTGGAATGAAGTCTGTGCCCTTTGAATGTAGTTTCTGTGAACATTGCCACTATAACTTGTCAAAGGTATTTAGGACCAGCTAAGCCATGTGTTCCTGCTCCATTTACAATTTTTTTTATGGTTTGTGTTAAAAGATCCGGTTTGTTGCTGAATAGGTTTCGGGACTTGCTGAAGTGACTGACAAGCTCTCTTACTGATGTTGATTTCCTTTTGTATTAGCTAATTCCTGAATTACAAACTGAGTTCTCTGTGCTTGCTTGCTGTGTTTTGTCGCTGTGTGCAACCCTCACATGAGTTACTGACTTGAATTCATGAAGTAGTTATCATTAATTGGCGTTTTCAGCTTTTTCCTTCCTCTGGAATTAAATGGTCTGTCTCAATGTCTTCTGGCTTGTCCACTGCTAGTAACTCATTTGTGGATTCATCTGTTGTGTAGAAGCTTCTGACCAACCTCTTTGTCTTTGTCTTTCAGGGTAACAAAGGTGGTGTTGCCATAAGGTTTAAATTCCATAACACTAGCGTCTGTGTTGTGAATTCTCACCTTGCAGCTCACACGGAGGAATATGAGCGGAGGAACCAGGACTTCAAAGACATCTGCTCTCGGATGCAATTCTGCCAATCGGATCCAAATTTGCACCCTCTCACTATTGGCAAACACGAGTATGCTTCCTCTCTGACTGTGTGAATCACTGCACGTGGCAAGGAAGAACCTTATGAACAAAACGGGGTGTGAGGTTCTCTCAGCAGGGATGTGAGAAGGGGTGCCCAGTGATCTAATCGTCAGCCTGGAAGGGCCAGAAGTGCTTTACCGTAACCCTGGTCTTGAGAGTGGTCTCCTATACAGTTCTGACAAGCCTTCTTATGCTCTTCCAGGCCTTGTTTTATTTTCAAGCATGAAGTGGGAATGGGGCAATAATATGCATTGATTTCCCCAGTGGGTTGTGGGATTTAGTCAATGTGGAATATTAAAAAGCACCAGTTATTAAGAGGTAGTGACAAACATGCAGGACAGGAATTAAAAACAGCAGAAGTGGAAAATGTAGCTTCTCTTTCGAGTTTTCACTCTTTTTTGTTCTCTCTGATGGAGAAGCAGACACAGCATCCACCTGATGTTGAGATTAGGAGAGCTCATGCTTGTGTTGGATGGTTTAAGGCACTGCTGCGGAGCTCTGCTTCCAACTCACGGCCAGCTTGCGTTTTGGACATCTTTAGTCCTCTGTGCAGACTTCTGGTGTACATTCTCTTTCAGTGTGATCTTATGGTTGGGTGACCTCAACTATCGGCTGGAGGAACTGGATGTGACAAAAGTGAAGCAGCTTGTAGATGAGAGAGCATTTCTAGAGCTTTGCCAATATGACCAGGTACTGATGTCTCACCTACCTGCAGGTGGTGCTGAGGGTGCTAGTTAGAAACTGCACACATACTCCTTAGCCTTCTCGGTGCTGAACATCTCCCTTTTAGCTTGTACAGGAATTGTGCTTGAGCTTGCTTAAAATTTTTTTTTTGTCTTTTTTTCTTTCCTAGCTAAAGAGGCAAATGAATGCAAGTGCAGTCTTTGAAGGCTTTACAGAGGGAGAGATTTCTTTCCAGCCCACATACAAATACGATGCTGGCTGTGATGACTGGGACACAAGGTACGGTGATTGCCTCATATGTGATGCTACCAATGGCTAATGTTGTCACTGAAGGAAGTAAAAACAAAGCTAAAAAGAATTGCAGATCTAATGGTTATAAATAGGAACAGTTCTGAGATTATTACTGTTCCTCTCCCTTGGCTCCAAAATCCATCTCCAGTTTACATCTATTTATGTTGCTTTTCTTCCGCTGCTATTTGTCAGATATTCCTAATCTTTTTCCCAGGAATAATCCATTGGGTTTCCTTTTAGTTAGAGGTGTACAAAATTAAGGAATCATTTTAGTTAGTTTCGTTCTTTTTGTTTGGTTTGTTTTTTTTTCTAAGCAAAATTTTTAGGATCTTTTATTTGCTGATATCTGTTATACTTACTCAGGTCAGACCAGCTAGGGTTCAAAATGGTGCGTTTGTGCTGTCTGTAGCTGAGTGCATTCTGCAAAAGACTCTGAGAACCATCATTCCTGTAACGCGCTACACAGAATGGCTGACCTGTTCTTAGTAAACTGGGAACATTGGCTTCAAGGGCGGGAATGAAATCTGTGCAGCAGTCAGTGGGGAAAAAAAAAAGGTGAACTTTAAATGTAGAGCCTGAGTTCTTATTTTTCATGGTTCTTACGGTCAAAAGTATCTCTGAGTATTGCTTTGTATGTTAATTGTATCAAAAGAACAAAACAAATAATTGCATCTTTGAAGAAGTAGAAAGTAAAGCATGATACAGAGATACCTAATAGTAGACAATCAAACTTTTTATAACTACTCAAAGAAACTGTGGAAAATACAACTTTGATAGAGCACTAGCTCCAGGCCATGTCAGGAAAACATGATCTGGGAGAGCAGTATTCTGCCTTGCATTGTTACTCCACCTGAACTGTGCCTGGAAACTGTAATTTTCACCTCTGTTTTAGTGAGAAGTGTCGTGTTCCAGCGTGGTGTGATCGGATACTCTGGAAAGGGCAGAACATTGCTCAGCTGAGCTATCGCAGCCATATGGCTTTGAAGATCAGTGATCATAAGCCAGTTAGCTCTGTGTTTGATATTGGGGTAAGTACGTCAGTGCTGAAGGAGATAACTCTGCTGACCTTGTCCTCTGTGTGGGGAGAGGGGGAAGGAGGAGGGAGGTTCTCCTGCTGATTTCCCTCTCCTCCTGCTTTCATGACATCCACAGAGAACAATGGCTTAAAAGGTGAGCTAGATAAGATACTGGGATAGGATTGTTGTTCACAGTAAGCTAGGGTTGTGTTAAGTGATACTTCAGTTAAGCAGAATAATGCGTGAATATCTGTAGGTGTTTTTTCAGAAGCGTTCTTTTGCCTTTTTTCTTACTTTCCTAATAATTTTCACAGAAACTTGCAGTGCAGGAATACATCATTGACAACACAGTGTTGTGTTGTCAAACTTTTAAAAAAAAGAAAAAAAAGTTGATCTAATAGTGACTGAGTGACTCTCTTGCTTGTTATGGCAAGGTCCTTTACTGTTGGATCTTGAGGACATCTTGGAGCATTAGTGCTCCAAGTGGCTCTGTTCATTACATGTGTTGTATACACTAGCGTGCTGCTAAAACCAAATCACTTAATATGTTTCCAGCTGTGTTACAGCTGTCCTGCAGAGGCACAGTAAATGCCAGTTGGTGCAGTGTGTGTCCTTTTCAGGTGAAGGTTGTGAATGAGGAGCTCTATCGAAAAGCCTTTGAGGAAATAGTGCGCTCCCTGGATAAGCTGGAAAATGCCAACATTCCCTCGGTGACCCTCTCCCAGAGAGAGGTAGGGTATGTTCATGTGCTGTGACTCGCTGGAGAAACTGAGCAACCCTAGACCCCAGAAGTGTATTCCAGCGGTAGAAGATGGATTCTAGACCCCGCGGTCTGGTTCCAAAGAAGTAGAATATTTTGACTTCCAACTGTTCTCTGTTTACAAGCCCTAGAAATATTTGTTTCTGTTTAGATGCAGGTAAATTCCATTCACAGTACCAGGCTGAAATGTAGGGTGTGTTACTCCCTGAGGTGGGGGGAGAGAGAGTAAAAGGGTAGTTTGTGGCCCTTGCTCTGACTTGTTCTTTGAAACATAAAATGTAAAATCTGAAGGATTTGGAGAAGGTCACAAAACCGGCATTTGCTTTGTCTGTTGGGGACTAAGAAAGATAAGCAAATGAGACATTTGAGGGTACAGCTATCTTGTTCTCAAGTTTCATTGGGGTTATTTGAGGGGAGCATTTGTTTTAAAGGGCCCACTGATGCAAATGACTTTAGCATACAGAGTAAGCAAATGTAATCCTTTGTAATCCTGGAAGAGATGGGATGCAGGAGCAAAAGGGTTAATCTGGGTATCTTGCTGCTTAATGATTAAACTACAGGACAGGAATTGCTGCTGGTGCTTGGCAAGGTGGAATTGGCTAATGATGTTGACTGACATTTGTTTCTAGTTCCATTTTGAGGATGTTAAATACATGCAGCTGCAGGTAGAGAAGTTTACAATCCGCAATGGACCAGTGCCCTGCCAGTTCGAATTTATCAGCAAACCAGATGAGGAAACCTACTGCAAGGAGTGGCTGATTGCTAATCCTAGTAAGGGCTTTCTCCTATCAGGTGAGCTCCTCGTTCTTCATCTCATGTTAATGAGCTAATATTGTCACCTTCTGGCTTAGTTCTCTCTGCTATTTTGAGAATGCTATGCCTATTTGCAGGCTTATCGGTTTAATACCTTTTTTAACTGAGTATGGGTTTTTTATCATCTTCCGGCAGATGCTGAGGTCACAATTGAGTTGGAGGTGTTTGTTAATAAATCAACAGCTACACACTTAAACTCTGGAGAGGAAAAACTTGAAGATATCTTGGTCTTGCATCTTAACAGGGGGAAGGATTATTTTCTATCTGTAACGGGAAACTACTTGCCAAGTTGCTTTGGGTCTCCCATCCACACGCTGTGTTACATGAGGGAACCGATCCAGGACATGTCAGCAGAATCCATTCGGAAACTTGTGAGTTAAAGAAAAGATTCTCTTCTGAACCCACAAGAACCATTAAAACTAGGTGTTAAGTCCTGTTTATTGCTAAAGAGCCTTCTTCCACTTCCCTGGTCCATAGTCTGAGAATGCCGATACAGCTTGTGCTCTCCAGTGCACCATCTTGGAATCATAGAATCATTAAGGTTGG